TTTTAAACAACGATTACAATGAATTTAAGTATCAATAGCTGGAATAAAGAACTTTATAATTGTCCATAAATATGTATAAAAATCGATCACATCTTATTTGCTTGTATTTTACCGAGGGACAGCATTCTTACCCATAGTAACTGGATACACGTGCTTACAGTCTGATACACAATTTAGAGTAACTAAATTTAGGGGAAAAGTGGAGATACCATTAAAAAAAAAAGACTCCTCTTGGCTCCTGCTTCCATAAATGAGCAGAAATACTTTACTATGATGACGAAGCATGAAGAATCAGTAGACGTGAAGTTAATCAAAGAGGAATGCAAATTTGTAAGACAAGATAGAAAAGATGATGTCATTCTGGGACTAGGCAGAACTAGAGAACACACACTGTATCATGGAGTGACCTGGAGCTGCAGAGGTGACTTGACAGCATCCTACAATAATTATTATTCATTACAATGTAAGATGGACTAAACTCCTGGTTATCTTGGCCACATGTCAATGGCTGACACAGCAATGTCAACAAGGAAGAGGTGAGGCCCGGAGGAGCAGTTGGTAGGCTAAAAGGCAGGGTAACAAGGCGGAATCTATTATTGGTTTTGGGGGGTGGGGTAGGTGAAGGTGTAGGGTTGGACAGTTGATGGCTCTAAGAAGTAGCTCAGAGAAATGGGTATAAAAATCACCCTAATCAAAGAAACCACTAGAAGGCTGGGATTCCCAAAACATGGGCTTGGTTATCTCTTTTTTTGCAACTTGAGTAGCAAAATCTCTCCAAACTTGAGCCGTGTGCTGGACAATGTTATTGTGAAAGTCTAGGTGGCCAGCCAAGGAGTTGTGTTTGCCAAATGGAAAAGGACTAAAGTCGCATTAAAAGATACACTGTATCATACCTAGGATTTAATCTTGGCGATCTTACAATTTCAATTATGTATAATTGTTCCTGTAATGTTCCATTTGCTTTGAAATGGATATAAAGACCAGAACCAACATGCATAATTTCATAACAAGCAGCTCTGCAGTGGCCCCCCTCACTGCACTGTGACCTTGCGGGGATGGGTGCTATTCAGGGGTACCGATTTTTTTGATGTTGTAGGTGATGCTGTGGTGAAGACAGGAGAGAGTTTTCAGACAGAATATTCAAAGATGGAGGGAACATTTCCTTTGTATTTTTTAAAGAATATTTTCAGTTGTAGATGAACACAATACCTTTATTTTATTTTTTTATTTTTATGTGGTACTGAGAATCGAACCCAGTGCCTCACATGTGCTAGACAAGTGCTCTACCACTGAGCCATGACCCCGCCACTACTTTGTATTTTAATAATTGATAGATAATCTAGTCATACAAGGTATATAATTCAAATTTTACTTCTTGGAAGCAGTGATGCTATGACAATAAAGTCAGACTATGACAATGAGAACTTTACCATCTTTCTTGAGGTGGCATAATGCTGATCAGCACATATGCCCTGGGCAAGACACTCAGAGCTCAGCAGATGATTAACTTTGCCTACTTTGCTCTGTGATGAGTCCATGGTGACATCAATGAATTGAGAACTCTCAGTCCAGTTCTCTTGTTTCACAGAAGAAGAACTGGAAACTCTGGGCAAGAAGTTGCTTTCTTGATTGAGGTTCCCTATTTGCTTGTGATTGATTCTGAATTAAAAACCATTCCACATGAATTACCAAACCATCACTCTCCTTTTACTATACCACAGACTAAGTGCACACACATGCTAAATAAACATGCATACACACATGTACACGCACACACACCCCATTCATAGTGTAGAATCTAAGGTGCACTTGGCTGTTATCTACCAAACAGTGACCAACTGACTTGGTCAGAGAAAGGTGCCCGATTCGGCAGAGTGCTTGTGTGTGTGTGTGTGTGTGTGTGTGCTGTACTGCAGTGTGTGGCAATGCATTGATGAAGCTCTAGGGCTTCTTCACTGTTTTTTTTTTTTTTAATTTTCTTTATTTTTTTCCACATTTTTAAAAAATTGGTTCATTAGACTTGTACATAATCATGGGATTTGTTGTCGTAAACTTGTACGTGTGCTCTTCACAAAAATAGCAAACACTTTCCATACTTAGGCTGTGCACTGGACAGTATTAAAATGTATGGATTTTACTCTTCTAGAGAAAATTCTTCATAATGGCTTAGTTCCTTAAAGTCAATGGCATGTGGCACTTTCTTTTTAAAGTGTGGTCTAGGAGACAGAACTTGGGTCTTATAGTCTGAAATTCTATTTCCACACGTACTAAAAGTGTGATGTTGGTTGTACAACTTCCTAAGCCTCTTTTGAGTCTCAGTCTCTTCACCTTTAATCCTGAGAGAACAATGGCTGCCAAATTTCTGTCATAAGGTTTTTCTGAAGATCAAATGGGCAAGAAAGAACCTTATAAGGTATAAAGTACATTTAAATGCAAGGTATTACTACTTCCAATATTATTACACAATCACCCCCCCCCCCCCCAGCCATCTGTGGTTTTGCTGTCCACAGTTTTACTCAAGGTCAATCAGGGTCTAAAACTATTAAATGGAAAATTCCAGAAATAAGCAATTCATAAATTTTAAATTGTATATCATTTTGAGTCGTGATGAAATCTCACGTCATTCTACTGCACCCCACTGGGAATGTGAATTGTTCCTCTGTCCAGCCTCCCCACACTGTATCACCTGCAAGTTAGTCATTTAGGAGCCATCTTGGTTATCGAATTAACTGCTGTGGTCTCATGGTACTATACTGTTCAAGGAACCCTTTTTTTACTTAATAAGGGCTCTAAAGTGTAAGAGTAGTGATGAGGTAACTTGATATTTGCCAAATAGAACTTATAAAGTGGTCCCTTTAGGTGAAAAGGTGAAAGTTCTTGAGATAATAAGGAAAGAAAAATTTTTATGCTAAGATCGCTAAGCTCTACAGCAAGAATGAATCTTCTATCCATAAAACTGAGAAGAAGGGAAGAGAAATTACCACAGGTTTTGCTTTTATGTCTCTCAAACTGCAAAAGGTTTGGTCATAATATGTGATGAGTGCTTAGGATGGAAAAGATTACATGATAGAGCTTGGTACTACCTAAGGTTTCAGACATCTTACTGCGAATCTTGGAATGTATTTGCCCCAGTTAAGAAGGGACTACTATACGGGAAAGATCATGTAGGTGTAATACTTAGGCACACTGGCTCTTAGCCAAAGTGTGAAATAGGCTGGGTGGTCATAGCTCACTTTAACCTATCCCTCTTCCTAATATCCCAGGACTTCCAGCTCCTCAGATGGAACAGCTGCATGGCAGGTGACAGAGGAAGCATTTCTGGATCCCACCCAGTGACAGCCTGAGGTTAGGCTGCCTGCCCAAGAGGGTTACTCTAGCCTCACCTGTGAGAGGTAAGCTCACTGTGGCTGTACCTTCCTCTCCTCCACAAGATGGGTGGGCAACAGGAATTCAACTAGGACAGAGGAAACAGTGAGAGACATGGGACAGTGGAAAAGAAAGAGAAGTTACTTGAGAATATGTTTTGATCTACCCAGAGACAGGAGCAGGGTGAAGGGCACACTGGATTCACATCTCCTGAGAGGAGCGCCGTGCAGAGAATGCCTACCAGGAGCATTAGCCTTTATTTGTGACACTTCCAGAAAATGCAACCAAACGGGTTTTGGCTTAGAATTCTTTCTGACAGCTTCCAGTCCATTAAAAATACAGTAAATGTCAGTGAGAATTTGCCACGGCACATTGTTTTGCCAAGAGGAAAATTTGTTAAATCAGGACATATACTTTCTTCACAAAATCATTTCAGTGGTTTATTTTCCATTTATTGCTATATAGAACACCACACACACACACATGAACACACACACACACACAGTTCTTCTTTTAGTTTTTTTACCTCGCTGAGAAAGTCTTATCTGGGAAAGTCAATGTGAATCTCTATTTTATTCTTATTATAAATCAAAGAAATAATGTCACCACATCAAACTGAAGCCACTGTCTTAGATTGGCTACTTTTTATTTTGATTTTTTTGACCAAATAGTGCTAGATCAGGATATTATCTTAATTTTTAATGTAAAGAGAGAAGTGAATGGAGAGAAGAAAACTGGGATTTGTTGGCTTGTACCATCCCATGGTTGGCATCACATTTAATTTTATTCCATTCTTAGAATAATCCTGTAGGCATATTTCCATTTGCATTTTACAGACCAGTTCAGAAAAAGCAGCAAATTCTGCTAAGACCACAAAGCTTACAGGGACAGAAATGGGATTCTATCTCAGAAGATGCTCTTCTCATAGGCAGTGGAGAAAAGGGAGGAGGAAGTATAAAAAACCTGTTTGTTATTTGCCAGAGGAAGAGGAGTGGGTGGGAGAAAAGATGAAATAAAATTAACCTTAGGTTGATAACTGTTGGGTGACTGGTTTCATTATGCAGCTTTGCCTTTTTTGGTAGGTTTAACCATTTCCGAATCAAAGATCAAAGAAAACAGCTGCTTTATACACATTGACAACATAGAAAACATTACATACAAATAATCTTTGGTTGCTTATTGAGAAAATGATAGTTTTACAAAAAGGAGAAAGAAAAAATCTTTGATTCCTTTTGAGGTTTATTAAAGTGTAACTGGGTAGTGACTGGACATGACAGACAGCTTAACTGCTGCTCCTCAGTGACTTGACATGATAGACAGCTTAACCGCTGCTCCTCACTCCTCAGGGTGTACCTTAGCCAATGCTCCTTTAGAGATTAATTAGTCCCTGTATCATTCTGCTAACAAGACTGCAGATTATACTGTGGGATGTTGGAGATGTTCCTCATGTTGCTTCTGCCCTATTTGTAAGTCTTTCTAACGTTATCAAGAACTACAAGACAGTGAATCTCACAGATGGAAGAACGAATATTTTACTACAGAAAAAGTATTGCTTTGCTTAACTTAAAAGGTTAACTTTAATTAAGACAGCGATAAAAGCTTTTAAAGAAAGAGTGACAAATATGTAAAATTACCTCCATTGCTACGGGCCATTGTCAGAGCTTCCAAAGAAGTTGCTGGAGTTATTTCTAGCTGGCAGATCATGACTTTGGCTTGGCTAATGACACTGGCTGCTTCCTTCAGGTCTTCAGTATTCAGAAGTAAATTTGCTCCTGCCACTATGACGATGATATTCTGGCCTATAAAGAAATCCTACATATTTATATTAAAACCAAGCAAAGCCAAGCAATGATATTCTGCAATGTTACAATCATCTTTATAAAGTTATTATACAAAATGTATTGTAAGTATTAATTTTGACATTTTCAGGACATTCAGGTTAAATTTTGCGTTTCAAATGTATCTTTTAGAATGTCTCTTGAGACTCATATTATTCAGATTACTTTTTTTAGGAGACACAGTTTTGCTATGTTTTCTAGATTGGCCTTGAACTCCTGGGCTTAAGCCATCCTCCTCCCTTGGCCTCCTGAATAGCAGGGACTACAAGTGTGTGCTACCAGGCCTGGCTTATTCTGATTACTTTGAAAAATTTTTAAAAGGTTTCCCTTATTAATATTCCTATGTATAAAGAATGCTAGTTAATACATTTTATAAAACATACTTAAAAATTTACTTAATGGGAAATGCTAATAAATATATATGACAAAGATTCTGAATTATAAATGACAGATGCCATATAGATGAGTATAAATAGGAATAAACTTGTATAAGCTTAAAACTAATGCTCTATTGTACGAAAAAATAGTTGATGTATGAACCCAATGGTATTCTAAGAGGTAATTCTGTCAATCCAAACACATTTTATTCTATCTAGCAGATAGAAAATTGTACCAGATAGAAGACTATCTAGCCTATGCTATACCAGAACAAATTGAGGCAACAGGACCAAGGAATTGATACATTCCTATCACCTGGGCCCACTCTCTATAATCCCCCAACATGGTGGAGGGGCAGTGGTGCATTTCTCTCAGGTGAACTCTTAAGAGCTGTGTTCTCCAACACAGTATTACAGTAGCACATGTGGCCATTAAACACTTGGAATGTGGCTAGTCTCAATTGAAACTGTGCTTTAAGTAAAAAATACACACAGTGGATTTCAGACAGTACTGAGAAAAGGAGGTAAAAATCTCAACTTTTAAAACATTAAAAAGGTTTTAAATTTCAAATGACACTTTTGAATACATTTTGAAATGGTAATATTTTGGATTTTGTGGCTAAGTAAACAGTGTCAAAATTAAGTTTACCTGTTTTTTTTTTAACTTTTTAAAATGTGGCTCCTGGACAATTTAAAATCCCCCCTGTGGCCTGCATCTTCTTTTTGTTGGACGGCACTGATCTAGGGGAATGCGTTGCAACAGGCATTTTTTGTGCTCCAGGCTGCTCGTGATGATCTTGTATAGACATGACCTAAAATTACCTCTCAGCACAGAACAAATTCTAGCCTATCATCTTACCACAGATGTGTTTGTTGGCCAGGAGGAGGAGGACTTAATAAAGTGGGGATGGTTTAGCACAAACCCAACCTCGGTCCTGGAAAAAATCAAAGTACCCACTTGCTGAAAGACAGCATCTCTGCTTCCTGCACTGGCCTCATTCTCTCTGTTGGAGGCAACTGTAGCCTCTGTGTTCTGACCTCCAAATCTGCATTTCAGGACTGGCCTTAGCTACTGAGCAACAAGCTCAAGACTACAGCTGTCTATTTTGTGGCTCACTCCTTCATCCCTCAAGTTGAACTTTCAAAATGCAACTCAGGATTTTATCTTGCGTACTCAATCTCTGGACGAAAGGAACCAAGTGTCCCATTTTTGCATTTGTCCTAGGTCTTCTGCAGTCCCTACTCTTTTTTTTTTTTTTAAACATTTTTATTCATTGTTGATGATTTTTTTAATGTTTATTTTTTAGTTTTAGGTAGACACAATATCTTTATTTTATTTTTATGTGGTGCTGAGAATTGAACCTAGTGCCTCACACGTGCAAGGCAAGCGCCCTACCACTGAGCCCCTGCCCCAGCCCTTGCAGTCCCTACTCTTAAAGGCACTGCCACCCTAAGAACCAGGCAAAGTCTACCATAATAGGCACTGATACATAATGTGAAATTATACCTCTGCATGGAAAATGCAGGTTTTGTTTCACAGGTAAAGAAAAGAAAACTTGAAGCTATCCCTGGAACAAAATAAAAGGTTTAAGACAAGGAATGAGCTGATGTTGGCAGCAATAATTACTTAAGAGATAGCTTAAAGTAATGAACACAGACTTTCTATTGTTTGAGTGAAAACTTTGATCTACTGTCTTTAAATGGAATTTTAAAAATTATTGAAGCTCTAGGATCACTTGAGTTAAAAATCCCACACCTTCTATGCAAAGTGATATTGTAAAACTGCGTCACATTAGTCCCCTTTTCTCTGTGGTTTTACTTTGCATGGTTTCAGTTACTGTGATCAAACATGGTCCAAATATATTAAATACAAAATTCCAGAAATAAACAATTCATAGGTTTTAAATTGCATGTTATTCTGAGTAGCATAACGAAACCCCATTTCACTGGGCTCCAGCCCATCTGGGATGTGGATCATCCCTTTGTCCAGTGTCTTGCCCATACATACTACCCACCAGGGTAGTGTTTGATTTTCCTATGAATTGTTGAGACCTTGCAGTGGTCAAATAACCTTTACACAGTAGCCTAAAGCTACAATGCCTACGTCATTCATCTCACTTTGTCTTATCACGCAGGCACTGTGTCATCCACATCATCACCCAAGGGGTGAGTATAGCACATAAGATTTTGAAATAGAGAGACTACATTCATATCAATTTTATCATAGAAAATTGTTATACAATCTCTGTTATTTTTAGTTATTCTTGTTCATCTCTTGCTGGTCCTAATTTATAAAATAAATTTTATCATTGGCATATATGTATAAGAAAAAAAACATGGTCTATATCGGGCTCAGTACTACCCACAGTTTCAGGAATCCACTGGGTGTCTTGAAATGTATTCCCCCACAGATAAAGGGGGGTGCTGTGCAAACAAAAGAAATATCTTGATAAATCCTAATCTAACACAAAACACACTAACTGCCTATAATGTCTAACTAGGTCTGTCCTAGGTGCCCATGAAATGCTTGGTCTTTTTAAAAAATCTGTGTAGGTGTTTTTATACTTAAAACAGTTGGCAGAAATTATGAAAACCTAACTTGAAGGCAATCACTTTTTTTTTGGTAGTCACTGTTTTTAAAGATTAATGTTTTAATTGTGGTAAAGCCTCGAGGTGCACTTACTTGTATAGACTTTTGAAATCTGATTGCTGTTTAAAGAGCAGACAAAATTGAACACTAACGATAAGTTAGAAGTGATTAGTTGCTGCCATTTACTCAGTGAAGATTCTATAAATATGATCCAGCAAACTTTCTTTTGCACCTATTTACATTTACTTACTGAGTGTAATGGAAATAACAGATGAATACTTGACTGCTTTTAGAGACAAATGTCAATTCTGAGTTCACATGAAGGATGATGGGAACATAACGGAATTCAAATATTTGGGGGAATTATAATGCTTCGTATGTGTCAGATGAGTAATGACATATTTAAGCAATCAATATGGGGAGTATAAAAAGGAAAACATATTTGGATTGGAAAATTCACATTAGGCTGTGAAATGGTGGGTGGGTAAGAGGTCCATAGGACTGGAAGCAGTGAGTGCTTCCAATCTAGCTCTGGAGATGAACTATCCGTTTTAGGAAATGACGCTCTAATATGCGAAACACATACCTTCATCATTGACAATTATAGAAGCAGCTCCTGTAGCAGCATCTTTAGTCTGATATGTAAATTCTACAAGAAAAGAAAAAGAAAATTACAATCACGTACATACAGCCTGGCATGGATAACTTATTTTAACAATTTCAATGCAACACTAATCCTCGAAAAAAACTTTTTAACCTTTAACCATCTGGAATGAGTTAAAAAATAAGTAATTAGTGCTAATTTATACCCATCACCTATACAATGAGGAAAATAGACATCTTTACATTTAGCAGCACCTTTTCTGTGCATTAATAACAACCTATCAAACCAGCCTCACTTCCAGTTCCCCAAATTACTCATAATTGTATACATATGCATTTTTCTAGATCAACACATTTCTTTTCTTCACTGAAAAAACGAGAGACTTGAGATAAAAAACCAAAAGGTCGAACATATAAAATGAACTTTTTTTATTTTCTTCATTCTCATAAGCTTTCATCTGGTCAAGAATTGTGGTCTGGCATGTAAACATAAATGTTGATCAGGCAGCCTCTGGCAGTAGGAAAGAGCTCAGAACTGGAAACAGAAGACCTCCATTCTAGATCTGGCTCTAGTTCCAACTTGCTGCATGCTCTTGAAAAGCCAGAGAACCTCTCTGACCTTCCATTTTTCCCTTCTGTGATCATGGGTTCAGCCTTGATGATATCTGTGATCGGTTTCAGCTTTAACAATAACACTTTTCTTAAAATATCTTTTGTGAACTTATCACTTGGTTTTCCTTGTCATTTGTCCATGAGATGAAGGTTCATAACCTCCCACCTGATTCCTGTCTGGAGGAATGTACGTTAAAGAACCAGGAGACATTTAAATAAGACCAGACAAAGCTGTGCATACAAATTCTATGGCCACCAGAGGAGGATGTAATAATTCTATTCCATGTTCAATTTTATTGAAACAAGATCACAGAAGAAACTTATAAAAATTCACTTTTAAAAAAGATGAAAATTTACCTGTAGAAATATCATTCTGTTTTAAGTTTTCTATATAATCATTGCCAAAAGAATCCTTGCCAACCTGTGCCAAAGAAATGGTGAACGTTAGATCTTTTACATTTAGTAAAATGCTATAGTGTAGTTTTTAGAACACTTAGCATTTTAAAAGGGCATATCTGCACAGTACTTTATAAACATTAACTAATTAATCTTCTTAATTTAAGATGGGAGACTTGATTTCAGCCCAAAGAATTGTTATATACTGTATTAATGTTTCACTTATATCCCACCTAAAATGTGACATATTTAACGTGAATCACAAGTTCTAGAGCTTCCTTCTCCTTTTGATCTGTTCATCTGACAATTCCCATTGAGACAGAGCCATCCTCCATCATCAATCTTCAATATTTATGAGAGTTTACTATAAATGAGGGCATCTTTGAAAAGACTTGCCTGATATTCTAGAATCTCTCTATCTTTTCCCTGACCTTGACATGGGAGACAAAGAGAAGGGAATTTTAATAGCTCTTGCTAAACTGGGTAACTTGGTATAGTGGAATACTATTGTTTCTACATGCTACTTACCATCTCTCTATTAATGGCCCTTTGATTTTTTTCTTTACACCTCTATTTCTTTTTCATTCATAGACAATCTAAGAAGGTTGTCCAAGGGTCCCAGGCCTGATTAAAAAAGCAAGTACTACTACTCTGAGTGGGTGTATGACCCAAATTAGTTCACTAAGAGTCAATCCTGGGGATTTTATGGAGACCTCGAGGGAAGACAAGTCTTCCTCCAGTGGGAATGCTAACTATGAGATACCGTAATCCTGGAGCCCCTGGCTCACCATGTGCAGCCAGCCTACATGGAAACAGACACATAGCAGACAGGAGAAGGTGAAGACACGGGAAGATACAAACTCCTAATAGACTAATGGGCGCCTAAGCTGCCCTAAGCCAGCTCTGCCACGGGGCATTTCAGTTATATAAGCCATTTCACTCCTTTATAGTTTTTTTTCTTAAGCTATTTTGAATTGGTTGTTTATTGTATTGTCCAAAAAGTCCTGACTAGTCTAGAGGGCTAGTCCGCTTGCTCTGACCCTGAACCATAACTCGAGTGGTTGTGCTTCTGTCGGGATCCTCAGACCAACCTACTGCTTTGTGGCCCACTTTGGTCACTGGGTCTCTCTGTCAGAATGAGTGTGAATCCTAATCATCTGGTTAGTTCCCTAGCTCATCTGCCTAGTCAACCATCCCCAGAGGCCAGGCCTTTAGGTCTAGGCTCAAGCCCAGAAGACACTGCAAGGCCTGTGACATCAGCTACTTCCCATTCACATCTCTATTGCCAGTTCTGGCTTCCTGGTGCTGTGATGGCTGCATGCTCTGGCATCCCCTGTCATGCCACTCTGATATACAGCCACTTGTCTGACTGCCACCTTGGCTGGATCTTGGCCTGACTTCTAAGTTGAGTCCATAGCAGAAATTATAAACTGGTGGGTGAGAGTTGAATCTGACACTTAGATGCATCTTGCTGGTCCTACTATTTTTTAAGATATACTTTATTTTTAAAGGCAGTTTTAGGTTATTAGCAAAAGTAAGTGTTAAGTACAGAAAGTTCCCATGTACCTGCTGTCCCTCCCATCGCCCGGTCCTGCATCCCTTGTCATCAACATTCTGCACCAGAGTGGCATCTTTGTTAAAACTGATGAACCTACACCAAAACATCATTATCTCTCAAACTCCACAGTTTACATGGGGTTCACTTTTTGTGTTATATACACTCTTTGTGTATCCTGTAGGTTTGGATGAGGGTATAATGACAGATACCCACCATTATAGTATCATAAAGGATAGGGTAAGTATCATTCCCCTAAAAATCCTCTGGTCTCTGTCTATTCATCCCTCCCTCTTTCAGCCCCTGGCAACCAGTGATCTTTTCACTGTCTCTGGAGTTTTGACTTTTCCAAAATGTCATATTGTCAGAATCACACAGTGTGTAGCCTTTTCAGACAGGCTTCTTTCATTTAGTAATATGCATCTGAGGTCCCTCTGTATCTTTATGTGGCTTATGCGCATTCCTTTTTAGAGCTAAATAATATTCAGTTGTCTGGATGGACCATATTTTATTCCTCATTTACCTGCTGAAGGATATCTTGTTAGCGTCCAGGTTTTGGCAAATATGAATAAAGCTGCTGCAAACTTCCACGTGTAGGTTTGTGTGTGATTGCCTTGCTATTAAAAAAAATTTTTTTTAAACCTGGTGCTGTGGATTGAACTCAGAGCTTGTGTATGCTAAGCACATGCCCCATCACTGAGCCCCTCAGTCCCTTATTTTAAATTTAATCAGCAATCATATTTAAATATTAAGAGATTACACAAAACAGATTTCCAGGAGGTCCTGAAAATCCAGAGATTCTGGTGACACTGGGTTCACACTCCTACAAGGCAGGAACTAAGAGGTGATGGCCCCCAAAGTAGGCACAGGTTCTCAAGTTCACTCAGCCCTACTTGGCCTACACAGCTCCTGTTACCTGCCTGGTTCCCCAGACCCTAGGCTTGCCACCTCTTCACGGTACTTCTAGTTTTCTGTTCTGCAAGCAGCACTAAGATTTCCTGGTGAATATGTTCCTTCACAGAAAACTGTTTCATTTTGGAGCTATCAAGAAACACGGGGATTTACTTAGGTTAAGATCCTAGGGAGTCAGATATTGTGGCGCACACCTATAATTCCAGCCACTTGGGAGGCTGAGACAGAAGGATTGTTAAGTTCAAATCCAGCTTTAGCACAAGCAAGGCGCTAAGCAACTCAGTGAGACCCTGTCTCTAAATAAAATACAAAATAGGGATGGGGGTGTGGCTCAATTGTTGAGTGCCCCTGAGTCCAATCCCTGGTACCCCCCCCCCCCCCCCCCCCCCCCCCCCGAAAAAGATCCAGGGAATGTGGATAAAATGGTCTGAGCAAACTTTGGGATCACCTAGACCAGGGGGTTGGAAACTCCTTTAATGAAGGGCCAGGCAGTATATATTCCAGGTGTTATGGGCCACATGATTTCTTTTGTAAGTATTCAACTCTCTGTTATAGTGTGAAAGTAGCCAAAAGACAATCTGAGACAAATGGGTGTGGCTGTGTTCTAATCAAGCTTTCTTTACAAAACTAGGCAGGTAGGTAGGATTTGCTCTGTGGGCTACAGTTTCTTGATTCCTGACTTTTGCTGAGGCTGGTTCTGAACATGCAATCCTCCTGCCTCAGCCTCCTGAGTCACTGGGATTACAGGCGTGTGCCACCGTGCTCGTCTGATTCCTGATTTAACTGCCATATCTGATACCTTCTTCCTTAAAGAACACTCTTCCTTTTGATCTTTTTCTGGCCTAAATGCTGTTTAGGCAACAATCTCAAACAATGTATAATAACTTCTTACCAGCAGAATTCAATATGTACAGGGAAGTACAACCCATATAGCAAGTACTGTCATGGGGAGGGTTCCCTGTTGGAAGGAGCTCATCTATCAGAGGTTTCCCTGATGGAGGCCAGTTATTTATTTGCTAGGTGAATGCAAAGGGATCTCGTTCAACAGGTTAAAGATTCATGCCAGAAACTAAATCTTTGTTCTCTCATCTTACTTTATATAATAACTCTCTCCCGTGGGCAATCAAGGTGTCACACAGCTGGGAAAAATGTCCCTATAAAAACATGGCAGGGATTAGGAAAAGGCCATTCCTAGGCATGAAGAGCTTGATAGAAATTAGAGCAATGAAACTTTTCTTCTCCTTTTTAACAGTTTTATGCAAGCAAACTCTATTAAAGGTGAACATCAAGGGCAGCCCTAGCAAGTGGAGGTGATGATACAGACATTACGGAGTTTAGGGGATTAGGAAGAATGTTTCAGAGCAGAAGGAAACCATAGAGCCTGCAGCTTTGCCGTCAAGAAACTGATCATCAAGGAATAAGAAATACAGAGGCACTGTACAGGTGGCATAGCATGTGCATCAGAGGTGTAATTAGGAAGAGATTTCATGCTCAGGGTGCACTTTGGAGGCTTGCTGTAACTGAATCTTACTTAGAGGCTGCCATCTCTGTCTTCTTCCTGCTCAGGGAATGACTTGATTTCTATATCCCTTGGTGATGGTTATCATTTCTGATTTATTCCAACATGGATTCCCTGACAAATCTGTTTGGCTGGTCTAGTTTTAAACTCTTAAGTGAAACAAAACATTTTGCTTTTGTGGCTTAGTGGTAGAGCTCTTGTCTAGCATGTCTGAGGCACTGGGTTCGATTCTCAGCACTGTGTATAAATAAATAAAAATGAATAAAATTAAAGTCCATCAACATCTAAGAAAATATTTTTTAAAATTTTTTGCTTTTGTTTCTTCGATATTCCATTGTTAAAAACAGAAATCAGATAACTAAAAACATAGTGGAAAAGTAATGACACTGCTAAGGATTAAGAGAAGTCAACCCTAGTGCCATTAATTTTGCATCTAGTCATGGTGACCCATTATAAAATAAAATGAGGAATAAAAAGCCTAAAAATAGGAAGGTGATTTTTTTCATTTGTGTTATGAAAACCAGAATCCTTTTCCTGCTAGCTGTGTGATTTGGGGCAAGCCAATTTAATTCTCTCTAGGCCTCAGTTTCCTTATCTAAAAATCACAAGTTTGCTGTGAGGAGACAAGAAAAAAAAACTATATGAAAACATACTTAGAATTGTAAGGGATTAGGGAAGGCTTCTGTGCTACTATCCTCCTCCTCCTCCTGAGGGCAGTGAGGCTGAGGCTGCTTCTCTGGGGGTTGGGGGAAGGGGACAGGACTACTGTTGCTTGATTTTCCTCCACTCCCAGTGCTGGGGATTGAACCCAGCACTTCATACATACTTGGCAAGTGCTCTACAAACAAGAATTCCACCAACCCTGAATTCTAACTTAAAAACCACTTTCCCTCCATCTGGTTCCAATTCTTCCAGTTCCCTGTTTTCAAACAGAAGAACACTTGGTCATGGAAGCAAGTACTTATGAGGTTACATTATTATTATTATTCTAATAAAAACACAATAACTGCTATTAATGATTTGGTGTAATTAATACTGT